GAAGCTGCGCGATCCCTGCCGCGCTAGCCGTTTTTGGGGCTCCGACCCAGACGGGTACGGAGCTAGGCTGCCCTGCAGGGGCAGCTGAAGGTAGGGGGGATCCGGAGAAGGGTTTGGGGGTGTTGCAGACTCCCTCCCTGGCCGGCAGAACTCCCTTTTCCCAGGACGGTGCAGCGGCGGTCTGTAATGGCCGCCACAAAGAAGCTGGCAGCCGGGTAAGAATGCGCAGGAGGAAGTGGAGAAAGTGATTGAGAGGAGAAAGTTTTTCTTGGCTCCTAGGACTCTAAGACATATTTAATAAAATTCCTGAAAAGTATGACTTTCTGAATAATACCTGCCAGAAGAGGAAAAAAGCGGCTGTTTGAAGGTGCTGAAAGGATAGCTTTCCCTCTTTTCCTACGGAATAAATAACTGGATATTAAGAAACCTATTTCTTTTAGGTGAAAATTGGTTTTAAGCGATGAGTGGGAAGAGAGAGGATTAAAAAGAAAATATTTGTATGCTAAGACTTTGTTGGAGCAGATGCCTTAAGGATTTGAAGACTAGAATATATTGTAATAAGATTTTAAACAGATTTGGACTTTCCTTCTCTTGGATTGATATTACCCCAGAAGGAGAAAGTGAGAACTCTGCCTTGGTTTGGACTGACTGATAACTTTGGGACTGTTTTATTTTTTTTATTTTCTTTTGAATATTCTGGTTGTTGTAAGAAGAAAGAAGGGGAAAAGAAAAGAAAAGATTTATAATGGCTCTTTCTGTTGAGGAACTAAGAAAAGAATATGAACAAGCAAAAAAAAATGGTAAAGATGGTGTGGAAGAAGCTTTCCTTTTTTTAGAAATGGCGCTTACTAATTATCAACAAACATTACAACAGATGAAGACAGCAGAGGAACAAGAAAGAAAGGAAGGAGCCATTTTTAATGAATCTCAGAATTTGATCCAGAAAGAAGGAAGAGAGAAAGAAAAGAAAAGAAGAGAAAAGAAGAAAACTAAAGGACTTAAGGACTTAAGATCTAAAAAAACATTTAAGAAAGGGAAAAATAAGGTGCAAAACCAATATGATGATAGTAAACAAAAGGGAAAAGGAATACGACAGAGAAGGGAAGCTGGTAAGGCAGAGGCTAGAAGAAGTGGGGGTAGAAAGGTTTGTTGGGAGAAGAAAGAAAGGGAAAAGGTGGAGAAAAGCTACAATGTTTTGAAATTAAATGAAAAAAAGAAATTTTTTATGGATAATGGATAAAGTATAATTTTTTTTTTTTAAAAAAAAGATTTTGCAAGGTACATAAGATGAGATGGTAGTATTGTAATGGTTTAAGAGTTGATAAGAGATTAAAATGTTAAAATGTTTAAAAATGATTGGCTTTAAAACTTAATAATAGGGAAGGTTTAGAATATTGTTTTAATTAAAGAGTTTAATAAGACTATGGTATTGATGTTATTATAAAATTTTTATTATAGTATCTTTTTTTAATATTTGGATTTATTGTCTAATTATGTACTTAATTATGTTGGATGTATTAGTTAGATAGAATGTACCAAGCAAAATCGGATTGGGTATTAGATATTATTTTAAAGATTAATTTGATTAACTTAGGGGGGAGATAGAAAGGCATCATACTCTGATTAATGATTTCAGGAGAAACCTATTTTCTTTTTTTTTATAAGGAATGAGACAAAGGGATGATAAAAAATGGACAAAAGATATAAATATAATGATTCAAACTAAGATGATTAATTAAGATAGAAGTAAGAAGTGTGAAATATGTGGGGAAGTTAATATAGAAGGCTTAGAATGGTAAATAAAATAAGTAATGATATGTAAGATGAGCATGAATATAATTGAAGTCCATGAAGAGAGAGACACCTGGGTCCAAGTTACTTTCCAAAAAGATTTTTTTTTATGTTTTGTGTGTTGTGTGTATATGTCTTTTTGGGGGGGAGAATTAGTTAAAACTTGTAGAAATATAGAATGAGAATAATGGTAACTAAGTCAGAAAGAAACAGATGAAATAATAATAATGATATTGAATAAGAGTAAAGAGAAGTAAAGAGAAATTGAATAAGAGGTTTTGGTATGTTATATGGAAATGGTTTAAAACAGAATCATAATTTATCTGACTTGTTAAATTGACAATGAAAAAAGGTTTAAACATGTAATGAACAATGATAATTTGTGTGTTTTAAAAATTAATAAAACTTGTTTTTTTTTTAAAAAAAAAAAGAGCGTCGGGTGAGGGCTGGGCACCGGGCAGGGCAAAGCTGCCACCAGTCAAGTTGGACTCTGCAAGGACTCACTGTCTGTCCCTAGTGCCATCCAATCCCCTGGGCTTTTGGGATGTGAATGTACGATGAGTGCATAATTAATTCCCAGAAGTTTTCAGCGCGAATGAAATATTAATAAACGATTGAGCCATTAACGGCACATTTAAAGGCAGCCTCAAAATTCTTGGAGAAAATCCTTGGTCACCGGGGTGGGGTGGGGTGGGGGATGGGAATGAGCAGAAACTGGGGGCTTCTGGTGAGGGGGGAGGGGAAGACAAGACTGCCAAAAGAAGAAAAGTGTCAGGATTCCAGCAATTGCCCTCATTAAATCACGAGCCTTGAGCCAGACTTCAAAAAACTTCAAAGAATTCATTAGGAATGACATATTGACTGTTTCCTAGTATGATTTGATTGCTTATTTGTACCCCATGACTATCATTAAGTGTTGTACCTGATGATTCTTGACTCTGACAAATTGTCTTTTATGTACACTGAGAGCATTTGCACCAAGACAAATTCCTTGTGTGTCCAATCACACTTGGCCAATAAAGAATTCTATTCTATTGGCATGACCTGTATGTAGCCGATTCTGAGACAAGTAATTCACTATCACCCTTGACCCTGGTTTCCCCCACCCCACCCCTCTGGGTGCATCATAATTCATATTGTTAGGAATATAAGTCACCTAACAGGTATTTGGGTTAGAAATATATAAACCAGGATAGACATTTTAAAACTGTATGTTTAAGAAAATGCAAAACTTTAGTTGGGTGTGGTTTCTCAAATGGCCATAAGATGGAGCCAGAAACCTGGGTTGTCTTAGTCTTAGTCTCAGAAGAGAGTTTGTCTGAGTGAGTCTCTCTGTTTCCTTCTGTTGGAAAGTATTGCCCTTGCTCCATTTCTTCTAACTGACTGATATTCCTGGATTTAATGTAAGTCTGATACTGAACTGTTTTTGACACTGGAATTTGATATTTGGATTATCCCTGGATTGAAAAACTGACTGATTTACCTGTGAATGATTTTGGATTGCTTATTTTGAACTTTTGCTTAAACCTTTCTGGAAGTAAAAACCTACATTTACTGTACAGTGTATCTGTGTACTGTGTGTGTATTATTCCAACACTACTCTCTATATGTCTCCCTGTATGTGCTCATTCTCCTAACGGGGAATTACCTCAACACATATTCTCCAATGAAACACGTCCATAGCCAAGAGTCATCAATCACGTTCTCCAATTAAAGATTTTTGTGGGCAGAAAATCCAGTCGCTTAGTTATAATCTTTGCAAGACATGAATGGATTGCGCTTTTGGTTCCAAACTGCTGCACTGCTTCCTCCAAACTCCTTCCCCACCCTTTTCTGTTGGCAACTATAAAACAGGCATAGAAATGTTTTATGAGTTGACAAAAGGACGCCTCCCTTTCCGTCAGATTGAGGCTATCCCCACTTCCTCCTAGCCATATGAATTTTTTTAATGCGCTGTCCACATGAAGATGTTGAGTCTCATTGTCACATCATCATTTGGTGCCCAGCTGCGCTAAAATATGTTTTCCTGTCTGCAAAGTGAGTGAAGTCTGCAAAACTTTGTCCCCAGGACTCCTCACCTGCGTCCGGGAGGGTTGAGGATTGCGTGGCCTGGGAAGAAAAGCAGCAGAGGCAGGTGAGGGATTGGAGCTGGGGGGCAGAGGGGTCCAGGCCAGGCCAGGGGCCTTTCCCCCCAATGGCCAAGGACAGAAGAATGGAAGCTGGGAGGGACATCAGCTCAGCTGTGGGAAAGGCCCAAAGAAACGAGCCGAGTATCTTCCTTGGCTGGCTGGGGAATTCTGGGATTGCAGCGCATCCATCTTCAAGGGGCCAAGATTGTGAAACATTTACACCAAGAAGGTATTCTGTTCAGAAATCTCTCTTGTATACGACTCCCTGCTAGCACTGATGATGTTCCCTAGTTGGGTCATGAAATGTCTGCAAGCAAGCCACAATGACAATACCAAGAATCCAAGAGTTTTCCTCCCCTCCTCCTCCTCTCTCTCCCAACTTCCTCTTCCTCTTCCTCCTCTCCCTCCTCCTCTCTCTCCCATCCTCCTCCTCCTCCTTTCCAGCACTCTTAATGTGACCTGGTTGGGTAATAAAATGTCTGCGAGAAAACCACCAAGCTCAGAGAGGACCAAGTTCCACCCTGAGCCACCAATATTCCCTTTTATTGAAATAGCTTGCAGCCGCCAGACGGGACATCCAGAATCCAGAAGCAGCAGGAGGCGGAGATGGAGACTCTGAAAAGGCAAGCGGCTTTACCCCCGATCAAATTCATTTCTCAAATGCGAGGTTGAGAAACAGGTCTGAATCTCCCCTTGTCCTCCATCCCTCTAAGATACAGACACCCCTTGCAAGGCTGGCCCCCACCCCATCAGCAACAGGGCAGGGTTTCTGGTCACGTAAACACAAGTGTGATAAAATCTCCATCCTCTGGCTCTCGGGTAGCTTAAGCAAGAAAAAAATCCCCACGTTATTTTCCAAAATATCGGAGACCTGCATTACGCCTGAAAAATAGACGGCGTCTTGATCACATTGCCATTGGTGCCATCTTGACTTTTTTGACCTAACCTGGCAGACACGTCCACCCCCGACTTCCTTGTGCCCGAATCCTGACTTTTGTGCACTCCACTCCCCCCAGCCCCTCTTCCTGCAGACCGCTAGCCTGGTGATGGAAAGCAGCACGCACACAACTGCGGTCCACAAAAGTTGTAATGAAATGGTCACATTTAATGAGCATCTTCTCCACTGGGCTCCCCTCCCCTTTCCGGTGTGGGTGTGGGTTTGTGTGCACGTTGAGTCTTAAAATTTTTATGTACATCTATAAAAAGTTCAAAGACAGCATACGTTCGAAGGGGGGGAGGTTAGAGGGGCTTACGGTCTTAAATGCTGCACCCCAACGGGGGAGAGGGGCGAGATCGGAAGTGGGTTCTGGGGCAGGAGGGAAGGGGGGCATTACAAAACGGGGGGGGGGGGGGGAGGAGGATGAGCTGAGGAGGGTCGGTGGGGTGTCTCGGCTTAGCTACAGACCCCACCCCCCCATGTGGATCCCACCCTCCACCCCCCACCCCCCATAATAAGAGCAGTACAGAAACCTCAGTGATCCTTGTATAAACCAAACAGACTCCATTACAAAGAGGGGGAGGCAACGGGGGATGGTCCAGGAACAGCCCCCATCTTTCGGCGACGATGACGTCAGTGCAGGCAGAAAAAGACCCCACCCTCTCCACCATGGAAGTCTTGGGGTTCCCAGAGGGGGTCTGGGAGGGTCCCTCCCCACAACTTCCACGTCTTGCTCAGCCGAGGACTCGCCGAGGTTCGTCTTCTCCCAGTTCAGAAGAGCAGAGAGCTCCCAGCTCCGTGTGGCCCTCGGGGCCCCTGGTCTGAGCTGCCCTGTCCACACGCTTTGAGGATCCTACTGTGGTGGCCGAAGGAAGCATCTTTGGCTTGGTGGCTTAGCTGTATGACCCGAGCCTGGGGGCTCCTCCCTGGTGCGCTCCGGAGGGCGGCTCCCTCGTGTCCCACCCGCCATCTCGCCTGGCACGGAGAAGTCCTTGGCTCCATCCAGGGCAGGTTGTGGTGGGTGGGCGAGAGCGGAGGAGGGGGGGATCCGGGAGCGCCTGGCTCTCCGAGGACTCGTCCTTCAAGGAAGCGAAGAAGCCGAGAAGAGAAAGAGACACAATCATCAGACTGGGTGCAAAACAGGGGGAAGGACCAGACGGGCGGGCGGGCAAGGGGGTGGCCTTCCAAAGGGACCCCGAGGCTGGAAGAAGGAAGAGAGGAGGACAGGATGCCTTCTCTGCCTCTCTCTTTTAGCAAGGGGCTCTCTGCCCTAATGACTGGCTGGGTGGGCATGGCTGGATAGTCATGTGGCTGGATGGGCGTGGCTAGGTAGTCATGTGACTGGGTGGGTACGAGCAACTTGAGGTCGCTTCTTTGCCCTAATTACCTAAAAAAAGATAATATGCCAAAAAGTTGTTTATTATTTCATGCATTTAATACTTAAATAAAAGACTGGGTGAAACCAGGCTTAATAGCAGTGACTGTGAGAGGGATCTTGGAGTCTTAGTGGAGTTTCTGGTGAGTGACGTGATTCTTGTTATTTGGGAATTAATCCCCTCGGAGGATGGTGGCTCTGTGACCTGATTTTCTCAATGGCTCTCCCTCGCAAGCGCTGAGTGGATTGTTTATCTAGCTTGCCACACTTTTACGAGGTGTGAAATGCTCTTGGCTGAATGCCCAGAAGTTCCATTAAGCCTATTAAGAGCTTTCCCTTGCTGCTTGTCCTGCTGAGGTTATTGGGGGCCCTCCAAGCGCTGCAGAGTCTTAGCTAGGGAGATCCCCCAGCAGCCCACCCCTCAGTTAATCTCTTTGCAAGATGGGGGTTTAGGAACTTCAGGAAGAGGCAGAGAAATTCAGGGATGAACCTCCTGACCCAGAAGCGGTATATAAGTCTAACTGCTCTTGCTCTTGCTATCCGAATTTGGATCACGTGACCTTGGGATGCGGCAAAGTGTGAAAAACAGTCATACATCACTGTTTTTAGTGCTGTTGTAATGTTTAACCGTTATTAAATGAAGGATTGTTAAGTCAAGGACTATCTGCATAATGAAATCTCCAGCCCCAAAGTGTGAGGCCAATCAAAATTCAAAGCAACCGTATTTGGAAGCTGGCCAGAGTCAAGAGCATCTGCCCATGGGTTGTGGAATCCTTCCAGCATTCAAGCGCAAGCTGCGACAGCCAACAGAGCCCAGGAGCTGCCCTAGGAACCCCCTTCAGGATTCCCTGAAACCCTGAAACCCCTCAGTGCAGGTGCCTCCAACCCTGGCCACTTTATGACTTGGGGACTTCAACTCTGGGAATTCTGGGAGCCGAAGTCCACCGGTATCATTGTCAGGAGTGGGATTGTACTGGTTCAGACCGGTTTAATAGAACCAGTTGTTACGATTCTGTGCAGTTCGGAGAACCGGCAGATCGTACCCCTGGCTGGCCCCGCCCCACTCCACCCAGTCAGTTCTTATCGCGCATGTGCAACATCACTGACTGCGTTCTCCCCACCCAGTCACTCCTTAAGGTGTTTCTTTTCCTTTTTTTCCTCCTGACGATCAGCTGTGCCGACGATCAGCTGTGCCGGGATCCCCCTCGCTGTCTCACTGCTTCGCCCAGGAGGCTTCCCTGAGGCCCAGGAGGCAAAAAGGAGCACGCGGGGTGTGTGTGTGTGTGCTGCACACCCAGTCACATGGCCACGCCCACCTAGCCACAGAACCGGTAATACAAATATTTGCATCCCACCCTGCTCAACGTTGCTAAGGTTAGAGGCGCCTGCCTTAGTGGGCCTAGCACTGCCACATCCCAAGAGGGCTCCCAAGACATCTGGAGGTCAACAGGAGGGGATTCCACGGCTGTCTTCCTCATTTGGGCAGCTTTCCAGCACTTGGAGAATCACAGCTGCCCAAATGAAGAGCTCCCCCAATTAGAGAAGCTTAAGGTTGCGAAGAGAGAAGGTTCAGCCATGGGGCCTCCAGATGGGCCTGGGTGAAGAAAGGATCACCTGTGGGAGTGCCTCCAATGGACAAAGGGGCCAGGAGAAGAAAGTCACCGAGATGACCGTGGAAAGCAAGATGGGGACAGACTCAGAGGGGACTTCTGAAGAAGAAAGGTGATGGAAACCACCTATGATGTTCTCCTACTTTGGGTTCCTCTCGGAGTGGAAGGAGAATGGTTGTGGGAACCACATGAAGGACTGGGGGAGGACACAGGTCTCATGGAGGGTTGCCAGAGGCCATGATGGCATCCTTTGGAAGGTGAAGAGGATGGTGACCTCAAAATACAAGCTCCACTTCCTGTGGACTTATTGTCTTTCCTTTGGGGATCTATTTTTGGAGGGTGTCCCTCTCAAAGAGTCCCTCTTCCCTCCTCATCTTGACTGTTATAGACACCATCACTGCCACTGTTTGAAAACTGGCTCCATCAAAAGACGGCCATTTTCATTCTCAATTTCAGTGGTAGGAAGGATCTAAGGATGTCATGGAGCCATCGGCGGTTCCTTCCTGGCGTGGCCCACTGTTCTCTTTGCATCCGACCTTCTTGGTCTCTCCTTGAACCCTCTTCCCACCCCGGGAAAACCCTGGTTAGATGAGATACTCACTAGATTAAGAGAAGGGCGAATGCCACCAAGACCAGAGCTGGGACCACAGAAGGTGACACGGCTTCATCACTGTTTTGTTCCTCTGAGTCATAGATCTTGGTGGTGGG